TTCACTTATCTGCCAGGATTTTTTAAATGATTTTTAATTTTTAGCTATTCATCTATCTATCAATCATCTACCTATCATCTATCTAATCTAATTTATGGATTCAGTTAATTAGAAAACTTACTAAAACTGTTAATTATAGCAATTTGGGTATCGTTGAATACACAGAGCCATACCATACCCTCTACGCAGTCTAAACCCACCCCTCCCCCAAATATTCTTGTCTTCTGGTCTAATCCTTATCCCTTTTGTCACTCTCTTGCCTAGGTGTTAATATAAGAAGCTGACTTAAAGGCTGGAGAGATGGCTCAGCAATTAAGAGCACTGGTTGCTCTTGCAGAGGACCTGGGTTCGATTCCCAGCACCCATATGGTGTCATTCACTCCAGTTCCAGGGGATCCACCGACCTTTCTGACTCCATAGGCATTGCACAATATGGGTGCCCTTACACACATGCAGGCAATACAGTCATACACATACACTAAAAATAAAATATTTTTTAAAAGAAGCTGATTTGGTGGTGGAGGGAAACAGCGCCATCCTTGTCTTCACCACCTCTTAGGCACGACTGCTTCACGGTGCAGTGGCTTCAAAAGAGGAATGCTGCTCGATGAGCCGCCTGCCCACCCACTGCAGGTAGAAGACCCAGATTATGCTTCTCGTTCAGCTGGTACAATTAGTTACATGGCTCTTCTGAAAGCAATGTTGCCAGTAAATGCAAGATGGGGGGAGTGTCAAAAGGACACCTGGTTGGGGTGAATCAAGATGTTGGCAGCAGGAGCAAGGGAAGGATTTATTCTGAGACCCTGCTTGTGGACAGCTTTTCTTTTGTTTACATCACTTTCTATTTGTGTCCAAACTTCCCCTTTATACAGACACTGGTCATACTGGGTTAGGGTCCAGTCTAACAACCTCACTTTAACTTGACCATCTCTATACCGACCAAATAAAAGCTAGACACGGGAGTACAAGCATCTAGTGCTCAGGAGGCTGAGGCAGGAGGCTCATAAGTTCCTCAGTCACCCTAGGCTACACAGTGAGACCTTTTTGGTCTTTTTGAGACAGGGTCTTCCTGTAGCCCCAGCTGGCCTGAAACACACTATGTAGCCCAGGCTGGCCTTGAACTCACAGAAATCTGCCTGCCTGCCTCTGCCTCCTCTGGGATTAAAGGTGTGTGCTGCCAAGCCCAGCAACACCTTATCTTTTAAAAGGAAAAGATAATTCTAAATAAGGACACTTGTTTGAGGGGTTGGGACTTGAATGTGAATTTCGGGGAGACAAAGTTGGTCACACTGGAAAGGAGGGTAAACAATGCAAGAGGGCAGATTGCACAGAGGTCCTGAGGTAAGATTCCACACAGCCAGAGCTCAGGAAGCAGGGGAGCAGGTATTAAGATCAAGTCACACTTGCCCTGGAGTCTACAGAAAGACTCATTTAGTCAAGTGCAATACCGTACATTCCTCGGGAGAGGAATGGCCCCGATACTGTGGGTGGAGGTGGGCAGAGGCAAGAGTGGCAGTGAAGCAGGCCAGTGCCAAAGTCCATCTGAGAGATGCAGGTCTAGATCAGAGGGCTGTGGGCAGCAGAAAGAAGTGCATGCTTGCCAGATGGAAATTAAGAGTCAGCTTCATAAGACTTGCAGAATCTGATGTGGCTAGAGAGGGTAAGGCATAGGGGTAACTTTTTTATTTGTCTTTTTGAGACAGGGTCTCCCTGTAGCCCCAGCTGTCCTGGAACTCACTATGTAGACCAGGCTGGCCTTGAGCTCACAGAGATCCGCCTGCCTCTGCCTCCCAAGTGCTGGGACTACAGGTATGCGCCACCATGCCCGGCAACTTTTTTTTTTTAAATTGAGCTTTTTATTTTTTAATTTTTAGTTTATGTGTATGTGTGTATTGCTTGCAGCATGTAGGTAAATGCACCCATGTTGTGCAATGCCCGAGGAGGTCAGAAGAGGCTGTCGGGGACAGTTGTTAGCCATGTGGGTGCTGCGATTTGAACTCAGCTCTTCTGCAAGAACCACCACTGTTCTTAACTGCTGAGCCATCTCTCCAGCCCCGAGCTTTTAAAAATTTCATACATTTCCCACTCAAATCCAGACTCCCTCCCCCATCCACGCCTCTCCCTTTTCCCTCACCAGATCCTATGCTGACCTGGGTCTCATGCTCAATGCCACTGCTGCCATAGGCTCACATGAGCAAGCCTCTAGTGGTCTGGAAGCCTCCATCTCGCTGTGTTCGTGAACCAGCCCTGGCTCTTACAATCTTTCTGCCTCTGCAATGGTCCCTGAGCCATGGCTGGTTGAGATTCCATATAGGAGTCCCAACCTATACTCTACAGTCTTTTTCTCCAAAACCTGGCCAGTTGTGGCCTTCTGTATCGCCCTCTGATGTACACGGAAGCCTCACTGTTGAGAGTTGAGGGGTGCATTAGCCCTTTCTCTATCCCTTATTCCGCAATGTTCTATGAGCCTTGGTTGTAGAGATTCGACTGCAGATGTGTCTCTTAGAACTGGGCATCTCCCAGGTGTATGTTCTCTGTGCCTGACCAGATATGCAACTCTGCAGTAGCCTCCATCTGTTGCAAAAAGAAGCTTCTTTGATGAGTGCTGTGCTGCATGTTTGTTGTTTTAAGGGAGGTCTCTTCCATTATCCCCACTCTCCCCCCAATACCTCCTGACTCCCCCACACTATGATCCGTTATGTCCATCCTTCCTCTCCTCCCTACTGATTACTCCTTTTTCCACCTCCCTCAGGTAACGTCTGTTCCCTACTGTCCCCCTTTCAGGTTTCTTTTCCTTTATCTCCATGTATCCTTTGCCTTTATCTGGCTCCTGGTATTACATCAGAATCTGTACACTCACATATAAGGGATTGGTGCTACAATCCCCATTCGTCGCTTGCTCTTCTGCGTTTGTGTCACTTCACGTAGTATAACACTCTCTAGCTCCATCCATTTACCTGCAAATTTCATTTCATCTTTTCTTACTGCTGAGTAGAACACCATTGAGTAGATGTACCACATTTTCATTAACCATTTGTCAGTTGAGGGACTTTTAGGTTGTTTCCATTTCTTAGCTACTGTGAAGAGAGCAGCAACAAACATGTATGCACAGGTTTCTCTACAGTAGGATGAGTCCTTTGGGTGTATGCCAAGGAGTGGCATCACTGGATCATATGGTAGGTTCATTTTTAGTTTTTTGAGGGTTCTCCACCCTGCTTTCCATAGTGGTTGCACGAGTTTGCATTCCCATCAGCACTGAAGCGCTCCTCTTCCTCTCGAACATTTGGGGTCTTCCTTTGTCTTGATCTTGGCCAATCTCACTGGGGTAAGATGAAACCTTAAAGTGGTTTTGATTTGCACCTCTCTAATTACTAAGGACATTGAGCACTTTTTAAGGTGCTACTTAGCCATTTTTATTTCATTTCAGATCTGTTTAGGTCTATTGCCCATCTTTTTATTGTTTTTCTCTTTATTCTTTTTTGAGTTCTGTGCATATTCTGGATATTAATCCTCTGTTGGATGTGTAGCTGAAGATTTTCTCCCACTCAGTGGGTTTCCTCTTCCCTTCTTTAGCTGTGTCTTTTGCTGTACACAAACTTTGTAATTTAATGAGGTCCCACTTAACTGATTGTTGACCTTAGTGCCTGAGCAGCTGGTGTCTGATTTAGAAGGCACTTTCCTACACCTACACCTTGAAGGTTGCTGCCTATGTTTTCTTCTGTGAGTTTCTGAGTTTTAGGTTTTATATTGATGTCTTTGATCCATTTGGAGTTGACATTTGTGCAGGGTGAAAGATAAGGGTCAAGTTTCATTTTTCTGCAGGTGGAAATCCAGTTTTGCCAGCACCATTTGTTGAAGATGCTTTCCTCCATTGTGTGTTCTTAGCACCTTTGTTGAATATCAGGTGACTGAAATTATATGAACTTATGTTTGGATCTTCTATTGTGTTCCATTGATCTACGTGTCTATTTTTGTGCCAGTATCATGCTGTTTTTATGATAGAATTTGACATTTGATCATATAAAACACCTGTTGCAGCAATGGAGCAATGGCTCATCTGTTAAGAGCACCGGATGCTCTTCCAGAGGACCTGGGTTTGGTTCCCAGCATCCATATGATGGCTAACGACCATCCCTAAGTCCAGTTCCAGGGGTTCTCATGCCCTCTTTCCACCTCCATGGGCACTGCATGACACAGGTGCACTCACATACATGCAGGCAATACACTCATACACATTAAAACACATACACACACCAAAATACCCGTTCCCAGACCATGTCCTATGCCCTTGGGGATAAACAGCTTTCTGTTTGTAGTATAAATTATTCTGACAGAAACTGCCATTTATTAACGTATGTTAGCTAATAATCTCCTTCAATTTAGATAATCATAAACTGACTACTGAAAGCATTTAAAGATCTCATCTTGGAGACCATTTTCAAAATTTTTACACATTTGTATAAACAGCATAAATAATAGAACACACAAGTAAAGCTGCCATTAAAATAATTCGTAATGAACAGCATTCAGGGAAGAGGCCAAGTTCTGGGGTGGATAGTCCCATGTATTGAGTTCTAATCTTGATTATCAACCTGACAGGATTGGGTATCACCACATTAGCACGTCACTGGGTGGGTCCGAGGGTGTTCTCAGATGCACGCTGAATGTGAGTTGTGAACAGTACCGTCCCACCGACTGGGGTGGCTGCTGAACGACAAGGAGAAAGGCCGAAAGCAGCATTCAGCTTCTCTGCTTCATCAGCGTGGATGCCCCATGACCTCACAGCTCCTCCTCTCACGTCCTCTCTGGCCTGCCATGGTGGACTGTATCCCCTTGACTGTAAACTTTCTCCCTAAGTTGCTTCTTGTTAGGCATTTGGTCACAAAAAATCAAAGTGTATCTAATGTAACATACATGTTAGGAAAAACGTGCATGTTGCTGTGCTGCATTTTTGAAATGAAAATATCTACCACCAATGCTATTTAGCAAACAAAATCAGGTTAATTCAAATAAATATCCTTTATTAAAGAAAAAAAAGGAATATTGTTAAGCACCAAAACTGTGTGTTGTTACATTGCATGTACAATAAGAGAAAAGTGATTGCAATACTTGGTGTACAAGTACTTAACTCTGAAGTCATGAGTGTAAAAACATGAAATACAAAGCAATACAATAATTACAATGCAGAAAAGTCACACTAAAGAGCAAAAGGCAACAGTCAAAACAAGTATTGGAGATTTCAGAGTATTGCTATAAATGCTTGCTTAGTATTTTCCTTGTATTTTAATACTTTAGGATGTTAATTGAGCATATTTGAGTACTATAAATTTGCAAGAGATGGCATTTACAGTACACTGCACACAACGTCCATTTGATGTGATGGTGGGAGAGCCACCCTTACAGCCAAGCACGGTGAACTAGTGTTTTGCTTCTGCCTTTATAGTATTGCACAAAGCTAGTAAATGGTGAGACAGTTTGCCATTGTAATTTTCATTTACCCAAAACGGCTAAAAACATGTCAGTTTCATTAGTCCTGGTGGACATTATTCATGCAAAATGATCTGCAGCCTTCCATTTTTCATAATCTACACATTATTGTTTCACACTTGAAAACATATACAGTACAGTGAGAAATTCAGTAAGCCAGTGGGGACTGTGCCAAAGAAGCTGAAGTCACTGCATGGGGTGCACTCTCCACCCTCACTGCCTCCCACAAATGAAGGGGAATGTGACCAGTGATGCGGAGACTTCTTTTTGTGGGGGTGGGGTGAGGCAAAGGGCTTGATACAGGGTTTCTCTGTAGCCCCAGGTGACCTGGAACGCTCTATGTTGAGCAGGCTGGCCTGATCTCACAGAGATCCACCTGCCTCTGCCTGGGAGTAAAGGCGAACGCTGGGATTAAAGGTGTGCACCACCATGCCCCCCTGCAGACAATGAAATAAGCATGGGGTAGGCTGCATAGTGCGCTATCCCCTGGACCTTAATAGTTAACCATATAACATGCAAATGAAAAAAATTTTTTTTCTCCTGTTAAAATTCACCTTTATAACAAACACCAACACTTTTTGTTTTCAAACATCACTTTTCAAGGTCTTTTCTACTTGCACTCAATTGCCCCAAACAGAGCCACTCTTAACTGTACCTGAATTTACAGAAATTGAAATAAAACTTCCCCTTCCTCTCAAAATAAATGGCTGACTTGAAACTCAGTGTGAAATAACACACACGAGCATGGTAGACGCGGAGGTATATTTCTGTGCATGCACCTTGTAGTGGACCAATGTGCTTTTAAAAGGAGGGAAACATTTATAAATTTGGAATTCAATCAATGAAACCATACAAGTGTCACATTGTACATTTACTGTGGGCAAAACATAGAAAAATTTAAAATATGCACATCTTTGAAATAACTAAAGCAGCAAACGTTTAGTTTATACACACACTATACACACTCCAAACCAGGATTCCCTCCCACTTTTAAAACTTCTGTTTACATACATGATAGTTTAGGTAACTATATAAACTCATTTTGTAGGAAAACCTTTTAAATTACATATTTATAAGATTAAAAAATACCACTGCTTCATTTTATAAAGCAATTACACAGACTCTTCTTAATGTGCTCTAACAAAAAGGACTTTGCAGCAGAGTTCAGAAATCACTACTGAATTGCTCAGTGGCTCTAAGTAAACTCAGTGTGCTCCATCAGTAAGGTGCTTTTACTTCATCATCTCTCTTCCATCTAAAATAAATCTTGTGGTCACTGGCTAACACCAAGTACAATTCTATACTAAACAAATGGCAACAAACTGTTTGAAATGCACATTTACCTTTACATTAAGTTATAGTCAGTGCAGGAATTAGGTAAGACTAAAGTTCGCTGCTTTCACTGTCAAACGGTTCCATTTAACAAGTAGTCTGCAATAGTTTGAAATGTTTTTAGTTGTTTAGGGCTCCTTTTTGTTGTTACAAGTAACCTGGTATCACATAGGAAACCTCAACTCCCTGATAGGGCCAAAAACCACTTTACAGCTGGTATCTGGTGCATAATACATAACAAAGCTGGGAATGGGGAAAGAAAGCTTTAAGGTCAAAATCATTTATTTAAATGGACACAAGCACATTCAGTGAATGTTAATTCCAGAACGAGGGCTCATGGAATGTAGAGAATGAAACTGCAGCCTGGGTGTGTCCCTATTCCATGAAGAGGTTGCCCATTAGGCTGGGGTCCACTGGGTTTTAATTCTTAGTATACAATTCAGCACATTTTAGGACACAATGTGGCCATGACCTGTGACATCAATGTTGCTCCACATTCAACTTTGTAGAAAAGAGGATTCTCCTTACAAACACATACATACACTATAAAGTGCTCACCCATCGTGGCCAAGATGCATACCTTACTGACCTCCAGCTGTGTCTACCAGTACCCTTAAGAATGCATTTTGCAAAGAAGCTTAAGCTGTACAAAAACACTAAGGAATGACTGTTTTTATGCTGTTCACAAATCCCTTAAGTCTATATATATATTCTCTCTCTCTCTCTGTCTGTCTGTCTTTTTGAGACAGGGCCTTCCTGTAACCCCAGCTGGTCTCGAACTCAGAGATCCACCTGCATCTGCCTCCCAAGTGCTGGGATTAAAGGCATACACAACTACGCCCAGATTAAATCTATATTCTTTAGACAAGGTAACTGTTGATCCCTTAAAAACTCCCCCAGACAATTCCATATGGCTAAGATACAACCAACTAGGATTTAAAACTGCCGAGAATATCTTTTTTTCTATACACACTACACTAGCTATTGTATGTCATTTTGGTTGCATTAAGGGAAATATTTGAAATTAATATTCAAGTGTAACCAATAGCATTAGCCATAAACATTGCCAAGTAATCTACTTGCTTTCTCTATTTTATGTATAATGCAATTAGGACTCTATTTGTAAATTAACTTCTAAATCAACTAAGCATAACCAAGCAGCTGTTTATGAATATAAAGATGACATATTCACAGAAGTGTAACTGTCAATTATTTGGAAATAGTGTCATAACCAAACTTGTACAAATTAACTACAAGGCCAGAGCTCATCACTTCTGGTCTTCAGGCTGCATCGGGTATAAAGCCAAAAGGCTTCATTATAATAGGAGCATAAGAAACTAAGAAAAACATTAACCATGCTTATGTCATTTTTGTGGGACTCTAAAACTGCTTTAAATTAATGAGGGCTAATCTGGTGTTTGACAGACATGTGGATGCTAGTTACATAAAATTTTATTGTGCATAACTCCAAATGTGTAGGATTTTGTTTGGAGGGTGGAGGGGGAGAGGTCCCAGAGGTGGAACCCAAGGTCTTGCACTCCACTACTGAGCCATACCCACAGCACAAGAACAGGAATCTTGAGGCAGGGAAATGGATGTGTTGGAAGAAAATAATATGCCAGAAAATGGGCAGTCTCAGATTTTAGCAAATGAGGTCATTCCTAGACAGCTCTGATGAGATGTGCGAAGAGCTGTGGATGCAGCCCTACCTCAGATTAGTAGGGCTTGATACCCCTCTAGTTTTTGTTAAGACTTACTATATCACAGTGGCTTTGGTTAACATTAGATTCTGTATTTTCCTAAAGCTAAAAAAAAGAAATCAGAAGCAGGCATGGATGGCAAAGGCAAGAAGATGACTTGCAAATTTGAGGCAAACTTGTTATAAACAAGTATTTTAAAAAACCTGGATATATGAAATGTTATGTAGAACTGATAGATGATTTTTAGGTTTGTAAATTTACATTGAAAATTGGCATTTTATCTAACCAGTGGCACTTTGGGTTACATATGTTTTGGTACTTTAGTTATCTATTAGGTGTATTACTGGTCATCCCAGACAAAAAGTGGGGCTTAACACTGGTAACAAAACCAAGACATCAAGAAATGGTTAGAGAAGCCCCTAGTCTCATCAATAAACATGCTATCAATACTGATGCATGCAAAGACTGTTTTCTATAACCCACTGCCAGAAAATTTCCTCCATAATTATTTGAAAGAAAATAGCCTTTAAAAACGACAAGAGTGTGAACAGTGTTTCTGCTGGAAAACGTGTTCGTGTAGGCTGAGGAGCTTTTACTCCAATACTGCTTCTGGGGCTAAACCAGAGAACAGCTTTCTAAGGTATGAAGTTTTTTTTGTTTGTTTGGGGTTTTTTTTTTTTGGTATTTCGATTCCTCCATATAAAAGCCAAGATCTGTCTTAAGCATTAGCACACATTAGAGAGTGCCGTGAAATGGGACCAGCACATCTACCTTCCTGCATGGTCACATAATCCTGCTGACAAAACATGTCAGCTCTATTCATAAATGGATCCTTCAAGGTTCCAACACAGCAAACATCAGCACCTATATATAAGCTCATATATTAAGTATACAGACTCAGTGACAGTAAGAAATGCTCTCTCCTCAAGTTCTATTCAGAGTGTTTCAAAGTAGTGAAATGCCAGCTGGAGATTTTCGGTCTTTGGCTACGTTCTGGGCTTTTGCAGAGCACATGCTCTTCCCTGTGGAGCATAATAATAAAACCTTAAACTGGTGCATGATACAAAGAATTGCAATCTGTATCCCTACTGTTGAATCCTGATTTTGATTCTCAATAGGAAAGTCATGAGTTATAGTAACCAAGCAGTAGTTCAAACAAAAGGACTAAAAATAATTTGAAACATTATTAAATTACAAAGCATTGCTTCTCATAAACAGGATGTACATAAAATTCAAACTATTATAAATTCAGAATTATGAAATGCTATTTAAAAGCATGGAGATTTTAACTTCAAACTCTTAACAAAGTGTAAGACTCTGGACTCCTAAAAATATGCCTTGTTCAATGTGTCATGTTACACACACATTAATGTTATCCCAATTGGCTTTTCAGATGCTGAACATCTTTATGAAAATTCCTTTGGAGATGAATAAAGTGGATCTTTTAAGTATACTCTGATTCTTTTAATTCCTGACCTATAACTACCATGATAAACTTCTTTAGACTGTCACTACTTCTGTAAGCTGATGTGGAAGCAGCTGATTTTCAGCAAATGTACTCTCAGTACACTGAAAGATGAATCTCAAAGCAGTTCCAAAGCAGCTCACTCAAGTAGAACTTGACCAACCCAATCTTTTTCGAATTCATAGTGACAACTAGCATGGGTGGCCACCGGATGTAATGGGCAGCTGAGAAGAGAAGGTGCATAATAGCCAGAAGGCCTTTTCTTCATTGCAGTCAGGAACATTGCACACCTGAAACTCAAGTGAGCACTATCAGCTAGAATGACTGGGAGTAATAACCTGCCAATTGTGCTTCCTTTTTTTCCATACCACTGAGCCACAGACTCAGGATCTAGTGGAATCCAATTGTGGAACCAAGAGCTCAATTTCTGTTTTCCCAAAGAATCAGAACCAGTCTTCATCTGTAGGTATTTTTCTTCTTTCTGTTACCTGTTTGTAAACAAAATAATAGAGCTTGTTAAAACAAAATACCTTTTAAAAGTACATGTACTCCCTCATATTCTTCACAAAACCCATGAAAAACACTAATTTTTTTGTATTTTCTGAACAGAAATTTACACAGTGCTGTGTAGGATTTACCTTTTTAAAAGGAGGAATCTGCTTGCTTAGTTTCATTTTTTTTTTTTTTTTTTTTTTTGGTTTCCTTTTTTTCTAGACAAGGTCTCACTACCTAGCCCTGGCTGTCCTGAAACTCAGAAATCCACCTGCCTCTGAGTGCTGGGATTAAAGGCTCATGCCACCATACCAGGCCTAGATTAAAAATCTCAAACATTCACTTGGGAAACAGAGTTTGAGGCTAGCCGGGTCTACATAGCCAGTTCCAGGACAGCTGAGGCTATAAGGAGACCCTGTCTGAAAACGATCAGAAAAAAAAAACCCCTCAAACATTATAAAATGTTTCCCATTACACTTTAGTAGGACATTTCACTTTGGAATGTGCTACTAAGAAATATTAAAAAGGACTGCACTGAAAAATTAAACCTGAATTTTGAAGACTTTACCTACCCCAAAAGGGGTGGGAGTGGGGGAAACTACAATTTTTGTCAATTACATATTGAAATATACTACTTTGACCTTGTAGTAAAACCAATCCCACATGTTCCTTTTGCCGCTCTAATATGGCCATCAGCAGTGTCTCAGAAAACATGGACTTCATGTTCTTCCCACTGTGTATCACTGTAAATAACTACCTAGGTTTGAGACGGATCCTACAGGAATCAAACTGGAAACCTGCCATGTGCGGATGGAGCTGGTGAAGGACAACACAGAACAAGAGACCTTTACTTTGTACAAGTTTCAAGAAATTAGTTCTCTTAAGGTTTTGAGTTGAGGCCAGTGTGGGCTATATACTCTTACCCAACAGCCCCCCAAAGGAAGGGAAAAATAGAAGAAATTATCTATCTTTAAAGTATACGATTGAGGATGCAGTAGATTGTTTGCCTAGTATTTATAAGGCTCTGGGTTCTACACCCAGCATGGTCAGACCCTATCAGAGTAACAGGTAACACAAATGATTACTTCTATAGTCATTAGTAGAGAATTATGTAAAAGTTCAGTGCTTTTGTGTTTTCCCCAAGCAGTGCTCCAGAGCTCCTGCCTTGTCATGTGGCAGGGGGACAACACAGCCGATGGATTGCTTCCACCACAGCTGCATAGGTTTAACTTAAAAAAAAAAAAAAAAAAAAATGTGTACGAGTGTATTGTCTCCATGTAAGTGCTCGAGTGTCATGCAATACCAACAGAAGTTAGAAGAGGTCACTACTCCCTTGGAACTAGAGTTACAGATGGTTGTTAGCTGCCATGTGGGTCCTCTGTAAGATTAGCCAGTGCTCTTAAACCACTGAGCCATCTCTCTAGGCCCAGGTTCAACTTTTAAGAGTGACTTTGCAGGTGCCTGAATTCATACATTAGCTGAGAGTGGTAAACAGGTTTTCTTTCAACACTGTACAATATACATTAGCCATGAACAATCAGCCTCTCACACTATACCAATTCCCCCAAGACTAAATTAGTGGCTAGACACTACAAATACCACCTCAGTTAAGTTATACAAAATGCAGTTGCAATGTCTATGTGTCAAGCCAGATCTGGTGGGACAGGAGAAGACAAACAAGGATATGCCAGTCTGAGCAGCTGTATGTGAGGGGCAACTATGAAACTAGCCAATGAGCACCATGATGCTACAGCAGTGACCTAAGGAGCTACAACCAGCAGGAGTCAGCGGAGCATGAAGCAAGAACTGTACAGCTGGGGTAACCCATAAACACCCACTGCAGAGAAGATCCCACCAAGACAGTCTCTGAACACTACCATGTTAAATAGAAATACTGTTTCATATTCTATTTCTTTAAATAATATGTATTGGTATTTTTCTATAAGGTATGGTGTACCCACATGTAAGTGAAAATGGTTGAAATCATACTGGGATCCAAAATGTTAAGTTATACTAAGTTACTGAAACCAGGGCAAGCAGAGCAGCAGTACTAGTAGATGTTGGCTGGATCAACATAAAGGTAACATACAAACACAGGTCACAAAGAATATTGACTTTTGTTGGTAAGCTTGATCCAGATGCTGACTGGGAAGGGTAGGATGAAGAGGTAGCAGAGAACATTTTCATGATGAACCAGAGCCCACAAGGAACAGGTAAAATTGCCCTTAGTATTTTATTTCATATAACTAAATACAGTCTATAATCAAAATTTAAAAATCTGAATATTTCACTTTTTTTTGTGCCAAGTCTTCAAAATCCACTTGTACCTACATATACATCAGATCCCCTTAGGTTATGATGTCAAAGTGAAGAATCCCCATTTCTTTCTTTTTTTTTTTTTTTTTTTTTTTTTTTTTTTTTTTTTTTTTTCCCTTTTTTTTTGAAACAGGGTCCCCCTTTAGCCCCCCCTC